CGACCGCGACTAGTGAGGGCCAAACGTAATATTGTAATGTTTACGCGCTGTTTTCTCTGTGCGAAAGTAAAATCCGAAATAAAAAACCAAGAGTGCGTCCGACCGGAATGATGTACACAAACGACGAGCACGGCCATAAAATTGTACGATCGATGTTATATTACTATAAAATAATATTATTATGATAATGAGCACACGCGGTTCGCGCGATTACGCGATAACGATTATTTTGGATACGGCAGAGAACCCAAGAGTACGCCCATAATTCGTCGTGCCACGGTATACGAATATTAACGCCAAATACAATAATTCTCGTCCAMAATAAACACATAAAATAACATTATTAGTTATTACCATGCCCGTTATGTTTACTAATAAATAATAATATATTCCCGCACGAGTGATGATCAAGGTGTCTTCGGGTGATGGTGGTGGTGATACACACGTTTCTGAAATATATCTATTAGCTGTATTTAAGGATATAATTCAATTCGTCGAACGGCGAGTGGGAAGTAATAATTTTCCAATAAACCCGCATACCACCTACCGTAAGTTTATTATAAAACAAAATATACATAACCGAACTAAAAAAGCACCGTATTAGGTGTATAACATAAGATCCAAATTAACATTTCATTTAAAAAAAATGTTCCATACATGATTTGATATAATATACAAAGAACTTAAGTGTTTGTTAGAGAGATTCTACACTCAACTGGGAATTGGGATGGTAACCCTATTTTTGAGATCTTTTAACCGTCTATATTATGGCTGGACATAAAATTCGTCATAACACCTATAGTCTTGATTGTATAACAGACTAACCGAACTACAATATGTTTACAATATGTTAATATTATACCAAATAAGTTGTGTACACGTATTTTAAATTTGTAAAATCTTTAAAAGCCAGCGGCTTTATTAAACCGTTTTTGACCCCAAAACTCGAAAATCCCTTAAATAATACAATAAATATTAACCTATTCGTCGTAAATACATTAATCCCTAACCTCCGGAGAGCGAGGGATTTTTGTTGTGAGGGGGAAGGGGGAGCAGGATTTTGTAAAATTTACGCATCAGTGGTCGAAATAAGCACGAATGACCTTTTTTTCGACACGTGTTCACCGTCGAACATTGGCCAGAGGGGAACACGGCGAGAGTCCCCCCACCCTGAAGTGACCTTGTAACAACGCGTCGCCGCGTACCAAATGCATGTATGCGAGCGAAAACAGCTGAACAAATTATAGTCTTTTTTTAAACAATTTTTTTTTCACACTTTAATTAAACGAATTCGTCCGATAAAAAAAGAATAATATAAGACTATCGCATTATAACGACGGCATTGTGTGTGTGTGCGTCCACTTCACTCCTACCACCACAACCAGTCTTTCCGACCGCGCGCGCCGAATGTCACGCAGTGCAGTTTTTTCGGGCGGCTAGACTTTGGCTCCACCGGGCGCACGATTATATATAATTATTATTCGTCAACACCGCACCTAACGACGCTGACATGAAAGTTTCGTCGAATACGTCCCTACAACGCGTCGATGGTGATCTATACACCACCAATATATTATTGTACACCACCAATATATTATTGTACACAGATATCGTTTACGAGGTAAAAAAAAACACCTTATCACAATATGTTTCACGATTCACGTACTAAACATAAAATAATATTACACATAATAAAGAGCGTACGAAACATACCGAATAAATTTTGATAGAGTTAGGACGGTTTTTAAGAATTCCAAACCAAAATGTATATTATCCATTTTACGAACTCGGCTCATTATTTTAAACGATGGCCAATAAGTACTATTTTAATTGCAATATGTACATACGCATCACAGTGAGAAAAAACTTTTACGATAGATTTCTTGTTTGCTTTTTAACAAACCAATTAGTAATAACAATTATTATTATCGTGATTATTATTTTTACAAAGTAATGTAGTTAATGTATTCCGATGAATACTAAAAAAACCTGTTTACATTTAGTTGACAATTATAATAAATATTACATATTTTAAATAAGGCTATTTTATAATTTAATTAGAAATGTTTGAAAACGTGACCATTAATTAACATAATTACGTGTGACCAAACGGATTTATAAACATGGAATACTATTTTGGACAATCTAATAAGATATTTTAAAATTTAAATCAGAACATCTATAAGTAGGTATGAGTTGATTTTTTACTTTTTATAATTTATAAAACATTTATTAGGTTTAAATAAAAACAAAATGGAACGTATTGTGATATTTAACGCTGAACAATACCCATACTTGTATTCTATTGGTAATTGACCTTACTCGTTTCCTAAGTCATAAACTCTTCTTTTCAGAAAAATATTTTTAAATCACCAACAGGCAACAGGTTCATCAGAAAAAAAAGCCATTTTAGTTCCACACCTACAACACGCTACCTTCGACTTACTGAACGTCATAAAATTAATAGGACACTATAATAAAATAATTATTCGGGAACATTAAGAATACACTCACACACATCACATAAAAACAGTCACTATAACACTTAATGAATACGTGAAAGGTATTCGCATTTATACATATAAATATATAATGTATTATATTACAATTATTAATAAAACCTTATTAGTTATTGGTTATTAAACACATATTTTTGGCAATAAGAGGAAGGGAGAAGTAACATTTAATTCGCCGCCTCTAGTGTGTAGCCGAACCAGCAGTTTACCCAGGACCGGCCTCTTTRGGCGTTATTTACGACGATTGCGTATAATATTGACGGGATTTACCTACCATAATCGTCGTTATTGACAGACACCACTTTTGTTTTTACGTTTACAATACTTGTCGAAACGGGAAATTAGATAAATAAAACGAGGCAAAATAAAATGATATGTATCGCACAATTAAATTAGAAATATTTCAACTCGTAAGTAGTATTATTTAGTGTTGAGATTCGTATGAAAAAATATTTGGTGAGTTTAAGCATAGGATATTAATATATTATGGTTCAGATACTAGTCTGAATTTATTTGTCTCCCGCAAAAGCATTAGAATTTACCAAAAACCGACAAAAAAAAAAGAAACATTGTTGTTCAAGATAAGTCTGCTTTAGGATTTTAACCGTTATCTACCCCTCAATTGAACCGACAACGTGATTTACAATCGAAAATAACACGCGCGTGTTTTTTTTTTCACTAATAAATAGTTCAACGAGGACTTCCAAAAACATTCTCCGAAAAATCACGTCCTATGCACAATTTAGACCTTTGTAGAGTATATAGTATATACCCCGCAGTACCTGTCCGACGATTCCTGTTAGATTGAGTGCAGGCTGCAACAATGAAGTCTGGAAATCATCTGGAAATCGTATTTTTTATCGAATCCGCCGAAATACAAAACGTGTTCGGCATTGTACATATTATGTGTAATATCATAAGCAATACAATTTTACAGTATGGCCGACTATTAAAAAGTTGTCCTTTATATTATTTCAAAGAGTGAAACACTCCATAAGCTAATCATGTTGCATTTTTTTTTGGCTTTGAGCCAAAAACAAAGCGTTGAGCGATTAATTTCGATTTCGCTACTGGTGAAAAATATAACGACCAAACGTTCATAATGGTAAATACATACGGTTGGTCGGACATGAAAAGCTCGTGTTTAATTAACAATCTTAGGTAAGTAATCTTTATTAACTTGGCGTGAGTAAAAGACCAAAATACATTTACCGAAACATATTATTTTATCAAAAACATTTAAAAAGTTAGAGAATACTTACACTTTACACTTATAAAAAGTTCGTATTTAATGAGAAAATAACATTAATATATTTTTAATTAAAATTTTTAAAATATTTAATCTAGTAAAAGTTAAAAAAAAATTCTTTCTAAAATGTGTGATGTTATTAATAATAATTAAAGTATTGATGATGAGTTTCAAAATCACCACTCCATATTCGACATTCAAAAACTTATACAATATTTTATAATAAAAACCAGAATTCGATAAGAAATAGCATATTACAWCACCAAATATATATATACTATTAGTAAATAACTTATGTACTTAAATTGATAAGACAATATCTTTTTTAACTTTTACTGATAAATGATAATTACATTAGTTTGGAAATGATGTGAACATATATTAGGTAGATGTTACGACAGAAATAGAAGTGATAGAAAAAAAAATCTTTATGAATTAACTAAAACCAAATAATATTATAATTTATAAGCACGTATAACGTCTAGAAACATATAATCTAGTTTATGAATTAATATGGATTATAAATTATAATTCATAACTAAGTATAACTAACATATCTTATTGTATTTATTCATTGTACTTGAAATAATTGATACTATATATGTAATAAAATAATAATTAAAAATAGTTGATCAAATAAATATTTTAATCTAGTACCTACAAATACAATTTGAAATACGGGCACCTAAGTTTATTTAGTTATTTACGTGTCGATAACCGGTGCGATTGTTGGATGTCACCAGTTGCCTTTTTCAAAGCGCGATTGGGAATAGTGCGGGACCACCCGACCACTTGTTGCGTGTAAAAAACAGCTGGCACAACGCCTCGAAAGTAATATATAATGTAAATGTTCCTTCTCCGTTCAAACGTTTCATATAATATAACCCAGCAGATCGCAGTTAAAATAATAATAAACCGATATTACACATTAAAACAAATTGGGCTAAAAATATCGTATTGTCATTTTACCAAACTAATCGACCAATAACGTCCAGTAAAAATGGATTTTTAAAAATGGCTGAAACCTTAAAATAAGCCAATGGAACCAATAAATTTCCAATACTTCGTCAAAAGTTTGGTCACCACAATGGGTAGGAAAATCGAAATCGGGGACACAGTCTCACGCTATACAAAATTATACAATATTGCCAGCTAATAATTAGGGTTAATACTACAAGTACGACTTAAACTAAAAATGTAGGTATAGTGGAGTACTAAAACTACTGAATACTGACCTCCCACATCCAATCAACCACGATCTTCCTTAGGTTGGCCGTGAGGTCGTTCTGGACGGTCGCCAAATAGTCTGGAGCCGGCAAGCACCTGATCTCAGACTTAAGCATTGTTTCGAACACACGGTCGTCCAGCAGCAGTGTCGGGTCCTTCTGAGCGACGCTCTTCGAAGTCGATTCGCAACACAACAAGTCCATGATTGATACGATTTCGCAGTGGACAATATATGGAATCTATATATATTATGATGTAGGTTAAGTGTGCCTAAGTGTGTGTGTGCGTATGCGCGAGCGAGGTGGACACCGTACGACGAGAAGGAACAGAAAACCACGAGATTATTATGAGAGTGCTGTCTTTATTCGTATCTCGAAAAACAAAAAAAAAAATGATCGATAAAAGATCGACTGAGACGTGGTAATACGCGCGGCGTGTACGGTTTACTACGACGACGACGGCGGCGTGTGTGTGTGTGCGAGTGGAGGAGCGTATGTGTAATGAATGCGCGCAGAAACGTCCGAACCCGGCAACGGACCAGGTCAGAATGCGTGTGCGCTGCGCTCGTCGTCGGAATCAAATCAGTATCAGTGGGACAGTGTTGTGCGTATGTGTGTGTGTGCGTGCGTGCGTGTGTGTGTGTGTGTGTGTGCGTGTCTGCGTATAGCGCCGGCGAACCGTACACCAGTCAAAGGAGAGGCTCAACACGCACACACACGCACACGCACATACACACACTCGCGCGCGCGCGCACGCACACATGTATACACTTGCACACGTTCGCGTTTACACACACTCGAACACGGACGCGCGCGCAGGCCGACCCTCGACCGTATGCGGTGGTGGGTCCCACCAGCGATATATAAAAATTCTTTCACATGMCGAAAAAAATAATAATAATAAGAATAAGAATAAGAATAAATAAAATACGAACGAAAAAACCCAGGACTGCCGCGCCGAAGCACCGGTTTCGTGTCGTCGTGTGAACGAGTGAGCGAGAAAGAGAAGGAGCACAGCACGTGAGAATGAAAGCGAGAGTGTGTGTGTGTGTGCGGGGGGGGGGCACCGAATACGCATTACAAAAATTATTATTTATTATTATACAATTATCGCCGCCGTGTATATTGTATGTTATACATAATATAACATGTACTATATAGGTAGGTATATACATATTATGTATACTTCATACCTATATACACCGTGCACCAAAGCACGTCAAATCATTCAAACCACGTATATACCGCGACCGCTGTATATACCACGTCAGTACGTCTACACTTTACGCATATATTACTGTAGTCTATAAAATTATGCACACGTCATTCAATTTTTCCGTACAGCTCGGGAACATTAATTGTCAACTCATATCGGAGAAACGTAGGTGCTCCGAAAACTGGAAACACGATCTCTTTACAAAACGTCGCATACAAACGACGTATTAAAATCATTTCGTGCCATTGGCGTGTGGCAATCGAGTTTCGGAGATTCCCAAGTATCCATTTTAACTTTCCAACTTTCGTATCAACTTACAATCCCACCTATTATATGCAGCCAAAAAATCAGTTTATTCCAAAATTTAGATTTTATGTTAATTTCTACAATTATTAATATACGATTCGAGAGATTTGATTTTTTTTTCTTAAATTTTTTTTTTTGGCGAAGATAATCAAGTTTTGATACTTTTTTCGGCTATCGTGTGTTTAGACATCGAATCAGTTTATATTCAACATTTAAAAACCAACAACTTCTTTCGGCTGCACTACAGATAACTTTTTTTTACAATTTTTTATCTTTGAATAAAATGTGAAGCTTTCCGTTTTTATAATATGTGTTACGGGTCTGTAAATGTAACGAAACGTCCTCGTGTTAGACGAACACGACCGTCGAACAATTTCGTTTTCAAGGCTTTTATTCAAATACATCTGTTTATAATAATAACGCAATGAAAAAAAAAACCCATTGAATAACAGAAAACGTTGTAGTCGTCGTCCGTCGATAACAGGACCGGTCAAGGTTAAAACTGTATAATCCCTGTAATAAATAGTAAATATTAAAAGCCTATCAAGTCATTTTTATCTATGCTTTAAAAATCTCTTTTATCCTTAGTCATTAAAGACACTTATCGGTTCGTACCAAATGTACAAATTAATAATATTTTAATTCATGTTTTTTTTTCATATCTCTTGCAACTACATTGACAAAAACGTGTTGAGTCACGCTACTAAAGTACAAACACATTGGCTCTAAGATAATTTTATAAACTATATGGTTATCATATTATTATATTTTATTATACACAGTAGATTAAATTATAATTTAACATATTAATATATTAAATGATGGTTTTAATTTAAAGCATTTTATTAGTATAGTGTAATTATTATTGACAGCCATTTGAGTTTTGACCACATGTATGCAAGCCCCAAGTCGACAAAGTTCAATAGTATTACATTACTTAAAGGAACATGTTATACCACAACGATTACCACAGCGTTCAGCCAATTAAAACACCGAGATTGTAATGCAAGACGTGTTTAGTGTGGCCAGACGTCCCCCATTAGGGGGGATTGTCCCGTTTTTCAGATGTGCGTCCCGCATATGTAAATGTCCCATTTTGGTCCCGCATTTATGAAAATTGAAGTGGTACATCATGATTCTACACTCTACAGGACGTTGAATCAGACTTGCAATCGTGATAATAATAAAAAAATTGTATCTAAGGATAAGTATTAAAACTGTAATTGTGATTGTAAATTAAAATTTGTTTAAGTAAAAACTTTAACATTTTAAAATACGGGTATGTAGTATCTAATGTTTGTCTGATTTGTTTATCAATAAAAAATAATTTTAAATAAAATGAAATGTTATGTATTTACTATTATTATGTATTTACATTTTACGTACCTCTTTTTTTAAAGTGTCCCCCTTTAGGATAAAATAATTATGGTCACACTAGACGTGTTAGATATTATAAAAGACACGATGAAGTGTAAAAATTAAAGACACATTTATTCGCTTTTAGCGTACAACTTACCAATAATTATCAAGCACACAGTCGACGGGATAAACGCTTCGAAACTTTCAAGAAAATGAACCATATTATGTATCTCTGTTTCCATCACAAGCAACACTTACAAGGGATATATCAATCATTTATATTTATACTTTTTCGTGTAGCTTATCCGATTATTTATGATACAATTATAATATAATGATGGAACACTTTTTATCTATACATATATTTATATTACCCCATTATGTATAACAAAAGCCAATAATCTATGTTGTTGTGGCTTATTATAATAATAATAAAAAAAAAAAATATATATAATAATAATAATAATAATAATGTGCGATTAAAGTGACATCCTAGTTTCGGTCTAAATATATCTCCTCTTCCAGTTCAAATATCAATGCGTCGATAATGTTCCGCGAGTCTATTGAATATATTGTTATTATTGGTTTAAGTATTTCACAAGACATGATAATAATTAATAACAATTATAATAATGCGCATAACATCGTGGGCGTCGTCGGGGCAATATTCATAATGGACTTTTCCAAGAAAAATAAACCGTACTACGATGTGAATACTCAGAGTTTAGACTGTTTAGAGTATAACGTCGTCGCACCGCGGACATGGGTAACATTATTATTATTATCCTTGAGATTGGGTCAGGTAGTATTATAATATAGGTCGTAGTTGGTGAGTAASTATAGCGTGGTGCCCGAAAGTAATAATTGTCGGCGACGAAACGTTTGTGTATAATAATATTATATATATAATATGATATACGGAACGTCGTGGTTAAAATATATCGAGTCGACCGATGGCAATAAAACGCATGGCCGTATACATATCGTCGTCGATTTTCTTTTGTAGTGTAATTTTATGGGAAATACTTTTACGGTGTGAATAATAATATAAACGCGCCCGTAATAAATTACACTATATGCGTCGTGGTTTCGATTTTCAAAAGGAATCGTATAACTGCATAATAATAATATCGTTGTTGTATACGGTAAGCCGTGCGCAGTAAACGGACGAATGGCCCCAAGTCCACGAATGCAACCACCTACCTACCCATTATTAGTATTAGTTTAATATTGTATTAAAATTAAGGCTCGGAAGTTGTAAGAGTTTGCGTTTTTTACTTTTCTATATTATAACTACAGACCGAGCTTGAAATCCACTCTATACTTATACACTGCAGGTGTACCATAAAAGTTTAAAAACGAAAATATAAAATCCACGTTTTTGCATGTTCCGTTCAGATTTTTTTACTTTAAAAAAGAAGTGCGAATTTTAGATTCTGAGCGGAGCGATGAATGTATTGATTTTACAATTATGTGGTTTTTTTTTGAGAGAGTGTGTCTGTGTAGTGCGTAGGTATACGATAAGTTGTCGGAACACTCGAAATATAGTGCTTCGATTTTCAACTTCAGTAGCTTTTCTGGTTGAAAAGTGAATCTAGTTGGTATGTTGGGGAGGTTAAATTTTGAAATTAACAATTGTTTTCAAAAGCACCGGCTAAAATATAATTAATACAAATAAGAATAACGGGAATTTTGAAAAAATGGATTTTAGATATTGGTGTAACTCTAAAACAAATTATCATAGATACATGCAATTTTCACAAAATGTTTATACTTTCATTTTCTATACTTAATACGATTTTCAAAATAATTTAAGTTTTTTTGAGTTATTTATAGACATTTTGAAATTTTCAATCTTTTTAGTTTTTTATTTTTGAATAAATGACAATAAAATTTAATATAAAGGTCCTAATATATTGTCACAATGACAGTTAAAAAAATTTAAAAATACAGTCATAATTTTTTTTTAATATGCATTAAAGTTCAAATTATGACAAAATACGCAAAATCACGAAAATTTGCAATTTATTTCGAGTTAGAATACATAGAATCGTTTTTTTTTATAACCATTTAAAATTCAAATTATGACAAAATTTGTTTAATTCAAAATTAACAAATTCTCAAGTTGTTAAAAATGTATGAAACGATTAAATTTTATAGCTAAGGATTGAAAATTTAAAACAAGGTTCCACGTAAGTATAGTTAATTCTGTTATAAAAAAAAATCTAAAAACTGTACAAACACAGTTTTTTTTTTATAGTTTTAAGCTCAAATTCGGATGAAATTAGATATTAAATAATCAAGAATAACAGCTTTAGTTGTATAGTTGTATATTTAAAATATTTTTCGTGGGTACTTAAATTTGTAGGGTAAACTTTTTATTCTAATGTTGATAGTTTATGCCATTAATGACTTATATTAATACTTTATAATAAATTGTATATATATACTATGAATGACTGAGTCGGGCACATAATGAATCTGATTTGATTAATTTGGAATTTATTTTGTATGTACCTTATTTATTTATTTTTTTTTGAAATAATAATATAATAAATATAGTTTAACATAACCTAGACTGACAAACCGTCTCAACTAAAAATCGTTTTTTGTATGCAATGATATTACATCATTGAATTCAAATATTTTTTTTTATTATAACAAATGCCTCAGCAGCTA